GGGCCCCCACCCCGCTGTTCATTTGAAAGGGCCGCTACTGCCGAGTGGGTGCTGTTCTTCCTCTCTTCCTTTCCCTGCCTTCCCCTTCTTCCTTTCTCTTTCTTTTCTTTGGTCTAGATCGGTACCTGCTTAGTGGCATATGGACCTGAAAGGGTTAATTTAAAGGGGTGGGAAAAAAAAACACCTCCAAGTTTTTTTTTCTTTTTTTTAAGAAACTGCCACAGTATGTTACCAGTGTTAACCCTCCGCAGTTAGCAAACTTTTGCTGAGGCCTTTTTCCTGCTAGAGATTCCCCTGTTTTTCTGTCATCTTGGCATACACCTTTAGATGACCTCTTTGTTTTATTATCATGCTGCTTGTGTGTGTCCAAATAATTCATAATAATTCCCTTTTTTTTATTCTCTTTTATTCTTTTTCCTTTTCGGCTCCCTGCCCCTACCCTTTCTTTACTTTTCCCTTCCTCTTCGCTTTGTTCACTTCTTATGAGAATGGTAACCCTGGAGAATAGTAGATCTGGACTGTTGCTGGGTGAAAGTCAGATTGTCATCGGGATATTATATATTGACATCCAACTGTCACCAGCCAGACAGGAGCCAAACAGTTAATACCCCTCTTAGGTATTCTGCCTGTGATTTTGTTTTGTCTGTTCCTTAAGGAGAGAGAGAAAGAGAGAGAGAGAGAGAGAGAGAGAGGTTTTCTTTCTGACAGACACACTCTGGGCCTGGGCTGGGGCTCCATTCTGTCCCCACCGTAGAAGCAGCCATGCAAGAGGAGGCGGGAGGCCGGCTGCTGGGTGGAGGGCTCCTCTCCTCTCCTCTGTGGTCCTGCCTCCGTGCGCCCTCTCCGCAGGGCTCTGGTCAGCCAGAGGACAGACCCTTCCAGCTCACGAGGTCTTGGGGGGCTCTGGGCTGCTGGCTTTGTTGTGGCGGGGTCGCTGGCCCTGGGTGCCGAGGGGAAGGAAGCCCTTCCCGGCCCTCGCTCTTTCCTGGCCCTGCATTGCGGGGAAGAGGGCTGGGGTGTCCGCCACTCCTCTCCTCCCCCCCTAGCCCAATCCCGGGAGGGATGAGTGAGGCTCTCCCAGCTCAGCCTGCAGCCGCCCCCCCCTCACATTTTTCTTTGAAAACTCCTGGAGGCTTAGAGGAGGGAGAAAGAGAAAACAACGCATGGTTTCGATTCCTGGGTCTTTTACTTTTTAACCCTGAAAGTCCCCTCTGATTCAGTTTCACCCCGCTTTAGAACTAGAGCCACGTCCCCTGTCTCACAAGGAAGCAGAGATGAGCACGGTCCCCGGAGGCCCGGGTGGCAGGGATGGGTGGGCACCTCCGGGTGCTGGCAATGTCCACGCACAGGGCTTTTGTGACGTGTGGGGGTGGTGGGGGCATGTAGGTTCCCGGTGGTCAGGTGAGAAGTGACAGACATCACTTCATTCAGACCAGAGACTCTCCGCGTTCCCTTTCAGTTTGAGTTACCGAGCGTGACTTCACTAACTGCTGGATTTCGAGCCATCCCGCTCTCCCAGGTCCCCAGAGTTTACAGATCCAGCTTTTTATTTTTTTTAGAAAGTGACCTGAAGGTTTGGGGCTCACAACACCACACCCGTATTGTTTATTTCAATGAACTTTTCAGCCAAGAGAGAGCAGCGTCCAGAAAACCCTGGCTCTTCCCTCTCCCCTCCTGCTCTTTCCTTGGCCGGCCCTTTTTGGCTGGGGTGTGAGTTGTCTGTGGTTCTCGCTGGGCAGGCTGGCCAGGGGCGGACCCCAGCCGCAGAGCGCAGGCAGAGCAGGTGGCATTCAGGTAAACAGCGAGAAGGTCCGAGCTGCCTTGGGCCCTGTGACCTGTTACCACAGGCATGGGGAGGGGCTGCTGGAGAATCAGTGGCTTCTGGGCGAAACTCCACCCTCCATTCTGCTACATACAGCTGTTTGAGAGTTTCATCCTTTTCCTTTTTAAACAGGAACGAGTTCTCCTTAATTGCTTAAGGGCTGGGGAGCAAAGCGTCTTAACTTCTGTCTTTGACTTTCCCAGCGTTGACTCCATCAGCATTTGGCCATGAGCTCAAAATCTTGGAAACCCCTGAAGTTTTAAACATTCTCGCTCCCCACGACCCCAGAGTGGAACAGCTCTTAAAATAGCCTTAAGCAAAAGGATGTAATTTCATTAAATTTGGCTTCACGGAAAGAATAAAAGCAAACGAGAAACACCCCGGATGCACGAGGCCCCAAACACTGGTAATCGGTACGGCACAGCGAACTCTTCGGGAACCAGACGGAGATGTTGCACATGTAAAGTACGAAAACTTAACTCTGCTGTGTGTGAGGCAATCCTGTCATCCTTTTTGACTCTTAAAAGAAATTCATTTCTGAGATGCTTGGTCGGAAGACTGTGACAATAGCTCATGAAATTGAGCGTTATTTTTTTTCTTTCTTTTTTTAAAAAAATATGTAAAGTGCAGTCTTCCTTATTCATGCATATTGTATATACCTGTATATGTTTTCCTGAGCAGCTAAATAACAATAAATATGATGTTAATGGTGGCTGTGGGACATTTGTGGGTGGGGCTTGCTTTCTCCCACCCCACCTCCTTCCCCTTTCCCCCTGGGGGCGTCCTGTTCCCCGGGTTCTGGGGGTGCAGGTCTGGTGCTGGCATGAGGGACCATGCTTGTGTGTGTGTGTGTGTGTGTGTATGCGTGCTGTTCTAAGTTAGGCCACGCCGGGTTTTGTCAGACTTGACACTTGTCACCTTGGGTGTGACAATCCTTTCTCTTGGTGGGGCGGGAGCCGACTGTCCTCACAGCAGCCTTGGCTTCTGCCCATGAGCTCTCAGTGGCACCCCCACCCCACTGTGACGACCAGAAACGTCTGCAGCGGCTCTCAGTGTCCCCCGGGGGACAAGACCTCCCAGGGCAAGAGCCTCTGGTGCCTGAGAGGCGTGCAGAACAGCGGCCGCTCCCCGGGCTCCGGCACACAGCTTTGTAACTTCTTGCTATCTAACTTCTCAACTCTGCTTCGTCCTCATCTGCGAGGCGGTGCGGCTCACTGAGTGCTCACCGTGACAGTGGGAAGGGCTCCATCAATCAGCGGCCTCAAGATCGCAGAGGATCCAGGCAGCGTCCTAGAGCCAGGCTGTCCCGGGTTGGAGCTATTTCCCCACTTGGCAACCACGAGCACCTGGCCGGCAGGCACGGGACCCAACGTTCGTCCCCCACTGTGCAGACACACAGGAGCCACCTTTCCCCACTGGTGACACCTTGGCACCTGCCACCTCAGGTGCAGAACCTTCCTGTCCCTCCCCTCCATACCTTTAATGCTCCATGTGTTCCAAAGTGTGGTCCACGAGACTGTGGCGGTGGAAACACCTAGGAGGTTTATAAGCACTGGATTTCTGACCTTGCATCCGATCCTTTGAACGCTTACTTTACACATAATCACAACAGGTACGGTCACCCTCCTTTCCCAGCTCCCAGCAGATTGGAGGGTGGCTGCAGGTGGGTTCCCTGCCAATGTTTTGTTTTATTTTATTTTGCTTTTGTGAGGCAGGGCCTCGCTACGGAGCCTAGGCTTACCTTGAACTCAGAATCCTCCTGTCTCAGCCTCCTGAGTGCTGAGATGACAGGTTTGTGCCACCACGCCAGCTCCCCCATGCCCGTCTGAAGTAGGGGGTCGAGCAGCGTGAGAGCTGAAGTGTAGCCACTCAGTTTGGAGGCCAATGCCTCGGACACCCCACCCAGAGGCGACCCTAACACGGAAGCTGTGCATAGAAGCTCTCAGACCAGCACAGGGCTGGGGGGCAAGCTCAGCCACGCTCAGCACCCCTGCACCTCTGCAGTGAGGCACATGTGGAAAGCCGTTCCCACAGCCGCTCTGACGTGGGCCCGAGCCCCCCTGGAGAGATGGCTGCAGTGGCTCGCTTCTCAGGGGCAGGCAGTGGCCCCGTCTGAGCCTCAGTTTTCTTGGTGGAGGAGTGGGCAGGAGAGTGTGGCTGTCCCCTGGACGAGCCCAGGGACACATCGGAGTTTTAGTGCCAGGCAATGGCAGGGAGCAGCGGGAGGTTGCCTCCCCGGGACAGCCGAGACTCGGCCCCACTCCCCGACAGGGGCGAGGAAGCGTGCAGCCCCAGGGAACGCAGACTCCGATATTCAACTCGACAAATGCACCCAGCTCCAGCTCCAGCTCCACGCTCACCTGAGGAGCCCAGCCAGGCGCCTGGCCTTTTCTCACTAGGAGCCTCTTGTCTTGTTGCCCTGGCAGCCCGTCCCAGTCTGCAGATGAGAACAGCCTCGGGGAGCTGAGGCCTCACAGATGTGAGCTTAGGACCCGGCCTTGGTTCTGGTTGTCACTGACGTCGCAGCTCACCCTGGCCGAGGTTAATCCCAGTCGAGAAGCAGTCATGGCATTGTCGGTTCAGACTGGCAGAGTCACGGATGCAGACAGATGCGGGGATCTGAAGAAGAATCGCAGAGGAAGGGGACAGCGAGCTGTGAAACAGAGGCAAATTCTGAGCCTTTGGAGTTTGAGTTTTGAAGGATGAATAGGAGTTTTTGGGACCCTCACGATAAAGCCACTCCAAATCTGGAGGTGAAGGTGGCTTCCAGTGACATTAATCTCGGGCAGTATTGCGCTACACCCTAGTTGCTCCCGCTGGCAAGAGCCCCACTCCCAAAGGGAGACGCGCCATTCGACACAGGAATCATCAAACTCCCAACGTAACCTGTGTCCACAAAGCCGCCTTGGGATCGAGCTTTGCCTTTCCAGGCACGTCTGCCTGTGGGGACTCAAGGAGCTGCTTCGAGAGCTTTTGTGAATCCAGGTCTCAGAAAACCATGCAATGGCTTCTGGGTGTAGTTTGACATCTTGTTTATCTTGACTCCACGAAGAAAACTAATTGGTTACATGAACTTAAAAAAAAAAAATTCCTGGCCTAGAACAAGAACTTGGAGAAGGTGGATAAATAAATTGACAGCTAAGCGTCAGGGGAATATGCCTAATAATCCACAGTACAACAGGGGTGGGTGTCACTTATGGGAAAGGCTTCCTCCAGCAAGTCATGTCTAGGTAGGGTTTTGATGGATGAATAAGAGTTTATTCTATTTGCCCAAGCATATAGATTGATGCTAATTCTTCAGAAGCTTCATTGATTCAATTTTTAAAGTTTTCTTGACATAGATAATAGCATAGTCATCAGAATATAGGATTTTATGGAAAAAACCTCTCTGTATTCACCTTCATATGAAGAAAATCTCTTTAAACCTTAAAGGACTCCTGAACAGTGTGACAGTAGACGATGTTCACGTTCGGGACCCACGGGGAGAGGAAAGGCGGAAGGACCATCGTGGGCTTTGGGTTGGTGAGAGAAGAATGGGTCGGTGAGCAGATGAATTCCCAGAGGGCCCGAGAGCCAAAAGGACCTGGCGGCCACATCGCTGGGGACGAGTGGGGGACACGTGACGCGGAGCGGCAGCCTGGGGTGCACGTGGGCATGGCCCAGCAGCTGGCTGGTGCACCCTGCAGTGTGAAGGGTGCCGTTTCTGCAGCTCCAGAAGGGGCCGTACCCCACAGAAGATTCTGGAATGAATATGGCAGGCCATGTTGACTGTGTCTTGGAAAGCTGCTGCTTTGGGCCCCAGCTTTTCTTTCTGCAAAGTGAGGCGGCAACACAATGGTTTCTGAGACGACAAGGATGTGGCAGCCCAAGGTCCCACTGAAAATGAACGTCCGCGACGGTCTGCCCTTGGAGTGCAGGTTCTCAGAAGCCACCTTCTGTAACCCAGTTGCAGTTAAGGCGCTTGGAGCAGGCAAGGCCTTGGTGGAAGGCGGACTGGCCTTTAGGAGAGGAAGGAGAAAGAAATGGCCAAGTCAGGTTGTCACTTTGTTTCTTGGAAGTCTGTTTAGGGTATTTACAATCTCTCTAGGGGAGGGTCTTCTGGCTGTGGGGGGACTTTGGGAGTTGGGGCTCCAGCCAGGATACACTGCAGGCTCTTGGGTAGACAGGTGGGGGTTCAAGGCTGGGACTGGGGCCCAAGGCCTCACCCATTTGCACCTCAGATTCCTCACCTGCAGATGGGGAGGGGGTCACGGTAGTGACCAGGAAGTAAACTGCTTCCTGTGAGCTTCTGCCCATGCTAGGCTCAGAGAAAATGGGTGCAGGTGACACAGGTGTAAAGGAGCCCACTAAATGTCTCTCCCGTGCTGACTGACAGGGTCACCATCAGCCACGTGTAGCTTTTCAGTGCTTGAGATGAATCTGGTCCATGTCAGAATGTTTTGTAAGTTTAAAATGCAAACCAGGGGCCAGGGATTTAGCTCAGCGGTTCTGCTGCCTGCCTTGCAAGTGCAAGGTCCTGAGTTTGATCCCTGGTACCAAAAAAAAAAAAACAACCAAACAACCAAAAAAACCTAAAATCCACACTAGCATTCAAAGACTTAGATGGAAAAAAAAAAAAGTATGAAGTATCTCACTTATTGAAATTGTATATATTTATCACACATTGAAAAAAATATTTAGATAAGCTTTTAATATGCTGACAGAGATATCTTTCTTAATGAAAATGTACTGCATTAGTTTTCTATTACTGCCGTCTCAGGCCACTTTCTGTCACTGTAACAAAACACCCGAGCTGGATACATACTAAAAGAAAGGGGTTTAGAGAGCTCATGGTTTTGGAGGCCAAAAGTAAAATGAGATGGCTCCCCCCGTTCAGCCCCTGGTGAGGGCCTCCAGGCCGTCACAGCATGGTGGCGGCATTGGGTGGGAATGTCCGCGGGTGGGGTGGGGACAGGGTGGCAAGGGAAGTGAGAGAGAGATCCGGGGAAGCCAAACTCACCTTGTGACCTGCTCTCACAGTAACTAATCCAGGTGCAGGGACGGAGTCCAGTCTGAAGAGAGCTAATCCGGTCTCCTGAAAGAGACCTTACTCCATCTGCAAGGCCAGGTCCCTGGCGACCTGCACGTCCCGTGCGACCCACCCACCTGAGATAGTTTCTCGGAGCGTGAGGCCTCTGGGGGAGCTGTGGTGGGGACGGACTCCCCGCAACCCAGCAGGGCAGAGCACCCCACAGGCACAGGGCCTCCGGACTGCGCCCATCTGGGGCTTCAGTTCCTGTGGCTCCGGAGTTCAGGCCCATTGTGACAGGTTTCTCTGCCCAGGGCACCGGCCTGTGGCCCAGGGCTTGGGAGGCGGTGGCAGGGATAATGGGCTTCCCAGCCTGCAGATCAAGGGCCCTGTTTCTTGCTGGCAACACTGGGGCTGTGCTCATCCTCCAGAAGTCCCCAATGGTCCCTGCTGGGCGCCCTTGGGCAGTTCACATCACAACCGTTCACTCTCCCAGGGGTGGGACTCGCTCCTGTCTGCTAGGATGGAGTTTTGAAGGACATAACATAATCAGGGGTGACTCGCATCATCTTTGCCACAGGCTTGGGATTAGAGGCGTTCCCATCTCCACCCCTGCTTATCCGGAGGGGAGGGTACCAGGATGTGAGTCACGGCTCACCCGGGGTGTGCTTGCCCGCACACGTGACTGCTCAGACACTTGAATCTGCGTCATACACAGCCCTAATTCTACTGGACAGTGCTAGCCAGCGACTACGGAATGTGCATGAAGGGTTCCTCGGCCTTGAGTGAGGAGGAACAGAGTGGTTGAGAGAGAGGGTTTTGGGTGGCTGCTGGGAGTCCTGGGGGACATCACTACACCTCTCTGAATGCCAGTCCCCCTAGCTGCAGGTGGCACTTATCCCTTGAGAGAACCAAGAGGCTATGACAGTAAAGCATTTTTCAGCCTAGAGCCCAGCACTTAGTAGGTACTCAATAAATGGTAAATCTTATGAATGTCACACCTGGAGAGAACAGGCAGGTTGACGGACCTCTAACTTGGCTCTGCTGCTTGTTGCTATGAGGCTGAGGGGCCAAACACCTCAGGGCTGTGGTTTCCCTATCTGTGAAAAGAAGGATCTGGATCCTGTGATCTCCGTAAATCACTGCCACTGGCTGCACTGTGTTTGGGAGAAGGCACTCGGTGAGGAGCCCAACAGGGCCAAGGCCCCAGACCATGAACAAGGGAAGGATGCCCAGCCATGAGGGTGAGGAGCGAAAAGGAGGTCACCCAAGCAGGTGGCAGCCCCAGTGTACCCCGTGTCCCATGGGAGGGGGGCCAGAGGGGTCAGGTGGCCTGGTCTTCAGGAAGAGGCAGAGAAGGACTCCTGAAGGCTCCGCATGGAGATCTCCACCCTGGGCACCTAAACCGAGTCACAGAAATCACGGTGGTGAGGGAGATGCCCAGCCGCGGCCCCGCAAGTGAGTGGGAGAAGTACTGCACGGCAACAACAACGCAACACACATCTTAGGCCATTTTCTGTGCTATAATCGAATGTTACAGCCTGGATATCTGTGGAGAACAGAGACTTATTCCTTACCGCTCTGCAGGTAGAGTCCAAGGTCAGAAGGTCACGTCGGGTGAGGCCTCCTCGCTGCATCAGAGCCTGGGCAAGCGCTTCCGGGATGAGACTGGGCAAGCAGGCCAGCTCGGATCTCTTCCGGCTCTTACCAAGTCCTCACAGGGCCACAGCCTGTGACTCCTCCAACCTTTGTCATCACCCAAAGTCTGCATCTCCAAACGCCAGCAAGAGGCAACGTCGGGGATTCAGGAGCAAATCCCTGAACAGTCACACGAGTGGCACAGGGTTCAGTTATACCGGCATGGTGAGGTGCCGCAGGACGTTCGGAAGAATATTTTTATGGAGACAATTTGTATCAGCGTGACATAAACTCCACCACTGAATGATCTTAAACACCGCCAACTCTTAGTATATTACAAAAGGCGTTTCCAGAGCATCCTCTGACCCCAAAGAAGCCGAGTGCTCATGGGCAGTCGCTCCTCAGTCTCCGGCCTTTCTCTCAGTCTTAGGCAGCCACCGAGCTGTTCCCTGCTCCGAACACATCACAGA